CCCCCCCCCCCAATCCACCCCCTTCGGGGCCAGTGTCCTTTCTAGCACACTGCCTCGGGAGAGGTTTCCACACCCTTCTAAAGAATGCTCCGTTCTCCTCCCCAACTGATGTGGGATCTCACAATTCACCCCCTTCGAGGCCCAGCGTCCTCACTGGCACTCGTTCCCTTCTCCAATTGATGTGGGACCCCCCACCAATCCACCCCCTTCGAGGCCAGCGTTCTTTCTGACACACCGCCTTGTGTCCACCCCTTTGGAGCTCAGCCTCCTCACTGGCACATCGCCCGGTGTCTGGCTCTTATAACGTTGTAAGAGCCTAAGCCCACCGCGAGCAGATATTGTCCTCTTTAAACTTTCCCTTTTGGGCTTCTCCTCAAGGTTTTTAAAACTTGCCTGTTAGGGAAAGGTTTTCACACCATTATAAAGAATGTTTCGTTCTCCTCCCTGCACTAGGTCGGATCTCACAAGAACAGACTACTACATCTAAACATAACGGTCAAACTTACCTCTCTAGCGAAAAAATACTAGGACATGCAAACATGAAATAAAGCGAGTAAAATCCATCTCTGAAACGGGATGAATTTACAGAGGACGGGGGAAATGCGAAATACAAGGCGTAAAAAGAAGATCGCAGAAACGAGTAAACTTCCAGGAAAATTAAAAATCAAATTCTAGGTCAAGGTCTATAGCTACAACAAATTCGAGCACCGATAAAGACAGCAGAAAACACCACAATCACAAACGTTCAACAAATACATCACGATCAACTCAAAACTCCCATGCATGTAAAATGAAAGATCAGATCCAAATGCCTAACAACAACCCTCACGCCTTTCCAAATCATATCCCTAAGTCAAACAACGATCTAAACCAAAAACTCACCGCGGTCTGAACAAGCTCATCGGAGTAAGCACCAGCACGGATCAGAAGGGAAACACGGCGGCGTGAAGACGAACCACGCTTCTGAGAGAAGGATTGTTGGGCGATCCACTGGGAAGAGCAGGCGTTCAACTTGGCGAAGCTTAGACAGGCCATGGCTTCGAGAACAGCGAGAAGAATTGATGGGGCAAAATAAAACACAGAATCGAATTGGGTTTGGGGCTGATTTTATTTTGGGAATCGTTAGGAAAAAACAAAAAATTGGCTACTTGAGTTGGGGTGGGCTGGGATCGCTGTGGGGCGCGATTGAACAAAAATGGTATTTTAAAATGCGAGGAGAAAAGTTTTTGTATTGTGAAGTCCGCCTGGGGCAAGTGTGCGGCGATGCAAGTGATGTGCTGTCAAATCGGTCTCTATCCATCATTTCTACACATTACCCAATCATTGTTTTTCAACCATATAAAGCTAAAGAATTCGAGAAGAAATTACCGTTTGTGCGGGTACAAAATGTATGACGTATCTTTACATGACATGACAATGACATGTACAGACTCCTAGACACCCCAGGATACTCTTACGTAGCTTCAAGATTCTCGAACGCACTCCTGCCTCGATCCGTGGCATCACTCTCCTGAAAAAGAAGAGAGAAAGGGATGAGTATAAGAATACTCGATAAGTAACCTACTCGTAAACTCTTTTCGCATCCTTATCTTAGTAGATATCTACGGCCTTGTCTCGAGGTTCTAAGGAGTGCAGACTAAGCTCCACCTCTCTTTTCTATAACTTAGGTGAGTAAAAGGGGACAATATGACTGGATCTGAATCTGTATCGCTCTCTAAACATCATCCATAGAGGTTTGCTGACAACCCTTTCACAGGACCATACTACATTAAAATCGGGATTCAAGAAGATGAAGTGAAGTCCTAAACTGATTTCTACACAATTCAGTTTAATGGACGATGTTGAAGTGTTACTTGTAGATACATGTATTAGGTAGATGTATAAGTATATGAATAGATACATGTACATAAAGGTTCATTAAATTGATAACAATTTAGTACATGCATTCTTAGTTACATATATTAGGTACATAAATGAATTACGCTTAATTAGGGACATGTTTTTAGTTATATGAATGGTATTGGATAATGTCCCAAATTACCTCTGTATATACATATTTTGGCACTTGTTGGAAGACGTAGAAAAACAATTTAGCATCGTTTTCTAGTAATAAAAAGTTCTCTACTCCCAAAGGTTCTACCAAGTTTCAATGTTGTCAACAACAATTTTGCTACTGGTTTGATTGGATGAATTATTTGAAGTATGAACGACGCGTGTCCTATGACCCTTGCACGTGTCACACCTTGTAATTGTTAATGTTTGCTTATTATGTTATGATGTGTTGTAATTATATGATATGTCATGTGATGGATATCATATGTTGGCACATTATGACATTGACGACCGTGCTATGTAATGAAAGTAGGATACCTTGTTATACACTAAATTATGAAATGATGTAAAATAATTATGTCGTGTATGAAATGAACAAAGATATACATTCTATCATAGATACATGCTATGATTTTAAACTATGAAGACTTCATGCATATTCTATGTTCACATGCATCAGGGTACATTTTCATATGACTAGTACGGAGACGTACTTTATGATGTTACAATATGATATTATGTACACTATGATACTCTGCACGCTTCCTTTCCTCCATGGTATACGAGCAGCGGGAGTGTACGCTAGCTGTGGAATTTATCGATATAAACCCAAATCCAATAGTTGGAGCTTCACCCCACCACAGATAGCCAGTGGTACAAATCAATACATCCTTCTTTATAGTTCATGGGAGTAGTCCAATCATTGGTGTAGTTGGAGCTTCACCCCACCACAGATAGCCAGTGGTACAAATCAATACATCCTTCTTTATAGTTCATGGGAGTAGTCCAATCATTGGTGTAGGCAATAGTTGTTGGATGTTACAAACGCACTCATGTGGTAGCAGGATAGCAATTGTAACAATTCGAGTTTCTGGAATAAAATAAAATCAAATAAAACTAAAATAAATAATTAAATGTAATCTCTCTTGAGAGAGGGATTTCCTGTAGACTTTTATTGCGTAATAAAAACATTCTTATTTTTCTAAGTTTCCTTATCCTAAAACCCTAGAATGCCTTATTGGAAAATGTTTTAAGATTATTTTTATATTTATATGTCCAACTTTTTACATTCCTTGAAAACGATTTTCTCTCCGAACTTTTCCCCAGAATGTTAGGGTTGCTATTCGGAGGAAGAATCGAGTGGAAGTAAGGTATTGATGTCGGGATCATTGTGTCAAAGAAGGTTGACCGTCGAAAATCGGTGTTGAGGATGTTGTGGGATCATCGGCACGTCGCCGGAATCAGGGAGGCGGAAATTAGGGTTTCATCGCTTGTCGGGTAAGGAAGGCGAGGATTTTGGAATCGGGTCGAGCCGCAGACGCTCGCCCAACAGCTCCAGCAGCTTCGCACGCGTACACAGTGCGGCTCGACTCACATGTGTATGAAATTGGCTCGGTTCTGTCAAATTCCCACAGCTCGACTTGGCGGCTTAGTTAGTCGGCTCGGCAGCTAGGCTTATCGACTCAATATCACTATAATATATTGATTCCAAGGTTTTCAGCCCTTCCGAAGCCGTTTCTGCCCTTAGGTTTACCATCTGAGGTCAGTATGGTTTCTAACCATCAAAGACAGATTAGGTTAGGAGTTTATTTTGATAAATAGCATGAGATTTAGCTAGAGTATGTTATGAAAGGTTACTAAGTTTTTATGTGGTTATTATAGGACATGTTTAACCATTGGGATTAGCTGGTTGTAAATGACTTCGGCCAAGACCATTGAGGTAAGTGACCTTACTGTTGGAGTTAGTTTATTACGTGTTGTATGATGGTGCGTGCTCTGTGGCCCCTGCATGCACCATGTTTTATTACTTAAGAGGGTGATCTACATAATCCTCATGTAGTAAACTAACTTCAACAGTAAGGTCACTTACCTCGATGACTTTGGCCGAAGTCACTCACAACAAGCTAATCCCAACGATTAAATACGTCCTATAATAACCATATAAAAACTTACCTTTCATAACATACCCTAACTAAATCTCATGCTATTTATCAAAATAAACTTCCAACCTAATCTGTCTTTGACGGTTAGGAACCATACTGACCTCAGATGGTAAAAATAAGGGCAGAAATGGTTTCGAAAGGGCCGAAAACCTTGGAATCGATATATTATAGTGATATCGAGCCAATAAGCCTAGCTGCCGAGCCGGCCAACTAAGCCGCTAAGCCGAGCCGCGGGAATTGACAAAACCGAGCCGATTTCATATACGTGCGAGCCGAGCCGCACTGATATGGAAATCAACCCAAGGAAAAGTATGGAACGGATTACCTTGATGATCAAGATCAAGAGTAAAGAAAACTCGTTTCTAAACTCGTGATTCGAATCACTCCACAAGAGGTTTGATCAATACCACTTGAATGACTCTACATGCAAGTTCTAAACACAAGAATTTGCAAAGAAAGTTTAGTTCTAAAATAGAACTTCTATTCTTAATTCCAAAATCTGATGTCTAATCAAAGAAAAGAAGGTTTTATATAGCCTTTACAACCTTAACCTATGTCATACATAACTCCCAAATTAAATGGGCTAGTAAATGAGAAATACTCATAACCTCCATATTAAAATGGCTAGTTAATGGTGGAATATAGTAACCTATGTGGATTACAATATAACCTTAACTCTTATATTTAAAACTAGCTTAAATATGACAACAAATAGTTAAATTATAATTAAATAATGCAAATAATAAAATGTACTTATTAGTCATCCTTGGACTATTTGATAAATTTAGCGGAGTTCATTAAATGCAACTTGAAGTGCATTTAATTCATCTCTGTCTTGAAGCTCAAGTTTGCATAACATATAAGGGAGGTCTCCAACGTCTTCTAGAATTTTCTTTGATGAGCTCACCATAGCTTGAATATAACTGTATAAGGTTTGTTGTAGCTTCTTGGCTCTCGTCCTTGTCATTGGATCTTGAGGTATGGAAATTCCTTGGTCGTGGTTCATATCACGCACTGTGTACATGTGCGAAGCTGCTGGAGCTGTTGGGCGTGCGTCTGCAGCTCGACCCGATTCCAAAATCATCACCTTCCTTACCCGACAAGCGATGAAATCCTAATTTCCGCCTCCCCGATTCCGGCGACGCGCCGACGATTCCACAACGTCCTCAACATCGATTTCCGATGGTCAACCTTCTTTAACACAATGATCCCAATATCAATACCTAACTTCCACTAGATTCTTCCTCCGAAGAGCAACCCAACGTTCCGGAGGAAAGTTTGGAGAGAAAATCGTTTTCAAGGGATGTAAAAAGTTGGCATAGAAATATAAAAATAATCCCAAGACATTTACCAACAAGGCATTCTAGGGTTTTAGGACAAGGAAACTTATGGAAATAGGAATGTTTCTATTAGGCAATAAAAGTCTCGCAGGAAATCCCTCGATTTCCGGGGAGATTACATTTAATTATTTATTTTATTTTTATTTTATTCTAGAAACTCGAATTGTTACATTATCCCCTCTAAAAAGAACTTTCATCCTCGAAAGTGTCTGTATCCAGAAACAGCTCTTGATACTTTTATCTCATCTCATCCTCTCGTTCCAAACCTCGTCCTCTTCCACTTCTTCCTCTACCCCTAAGTGGGGGTCGTCTCCTAGTGCCTCTGCCTCGAGTTCTAAGTGACATGTTTATACCAAGCGCCTAACTACTAAGTCACATGCCTAACTATCAGGCTTCGTGAACGTTCATACGAATACATGTCTACATCCATACAATCATTGCATTAACATAACCATAAGATAGTACATAACATATCATAAAACATGCCAATATTTACTACATGCACATCCTATCCTTCATTACAAATACATATTTCATACTGCATGCATCATTTAACTAAAAAACTTTAATTCTTAAAATGGCATACCTGACGGTGACGGTGTGTTTGCTGGAGGACCATGGAAGTACGTTAGGCCTACATCGTAAGCTAGTCTATAAGATCTATAACCTAGGGCTCTGATCCCAACTGTAACGCCCCTAATTTTCTAAACCTACTTAGTGACGTCACCCATGCATACATAATTCATTACGTGGAAGCTCATCATAAATAACCTTGGAAACACACAAAGTATTTTATGAAGATTCATAAATCTAAAACAAACCTGTCTCCAAAAATAAAA